AGATGGTTTGTTGATTTTAACCACTTTTTCTCTTGCCTCACCTTTTGCACTCGTGTCTGTTCTGCTGCACTTATCTGGCTTCACTCCTTAAGCTAATGTCCTCAGTAATTTCTTACTTCGTCTGAAGCTGACTCGGTTATTTCCCTGCGACAATAACACCCTAACTGTCGCATTTTAACTTTTGCTGCTCTTACTTTTCATCTCACCTGGAAGCTCTTTAGGTTGCCGTCTTCGGAACACAGTAGTCTTTCACTGTTCAGCTTAGCTGGACAGTTTCTACTCACAAATTAGCAATTTGCGTATCATAGCATTTTTTGCGCAGATATTTCCCAAGTCTCGTATCAGAGATCCTTCCTTGAATTAACTTTTGCCAGGTCACAGGTACATTACTTGGTACCAATCCCTTGTTCACTGCATATTCTATCTTTATATTTCTATTTACTCTTTGAGCTCCGTTTTCTCCATCGATTGCTATCATAGACGACTTCTTAACCTGTCTCTCCCCTATCTCCTTTCCTCCTTTTTCCATGCCAGTACTCTACTTCGTTTTATTAATGCTGGTAGCTTGATCATCCATTTTGTCACGTTTCCAAATCGATTTTGCTTAAGCTGATCCGGACAGATATGTATCACAAACTCTTCCGATTGATTTTATAACAATCACGCTTGGTTTCATCCGCTTACTTGATCGTGTCCACTGAGGTCATGTTCGTGTCAACTCATTCGCTTTAAAAAGAAAATCATAGTACTGTACATTCGTTCCTCAGATAAGCTAGCGAACCGATGCTTTTGACACACTACCCTGTCAAGTTACCCTTCACTCAGACCCACCAACACTGTCAAAGTAACAGTGGGTTATATATATATATATATATATATATATATATTCGCAACCTGCTCACGTATAATGCGCCATCAAAACCATGGCGAAATGAAGGGGAGAAACGAAGTACAGCATGAGAAGGAAACGCTTTTTTCGGTTTTACACACACCATTTTGAGATCTTCTCTTTGTTTTGGAGTTTTATGTTCGATGGGACCTTCACTAATACATAACGCGGTTGAACAACACTATCTCCACTGTTGTCTGTTGCGCACCATAGCCTCCAACATTTGTAACCACTGGCAGTCCAAATCGCGTGGTCCCCACCCTGGAACGCGGACCGGTCCGATGGATGCTAATCCTGAGGTTGCCTTCTTCATACTTCTTCTCCATGTCATTGGTTGTCCACCGCAGCACTTTTTCCTACTCCTAGGAGAACAGCTTCTTGACTTGGAGTATGCAGACGACATTTCCCTCATCTGTGACAGCTCCCAGACTTGACAACCCTCGCTGGACAGATTAGCACTGACTGTCAGCCGCTTCGGGTTTTGCTTTGCACCATCGAAATGCAAAGCGTTCCTCCAGGATTGGCAGGGATCGCCTCCTGTGCTGACCCTTGGTGGGGATCAGCTAGAAGTCGCTCGGAAATTCAACTACCTAGGAACTTGTATCAGCGCCCTTGGAATCGAAGACGCGATCACGAACCGTATAGCAAAAGCTCGAAGTGCTTTTGCTAACCTTCGCCACCTATGGCAGCGGCGCGACATCACTCTTACCCTGAAGGGTAGAGTGTACAATGCAGCGGTACGTTCGACCTTACTGTATGGTTGCTAAACCTGACCCCTAAGGTCGGCGGACATGAAGAAGCTAGTTACCTTCGACCATCGGTGCTTTCGCAGTTTGGCTCACATGTGGTGGGAACACCGCGTGAGTAACGAGCGTGTTCGACGCCTTGTTTACGGCACAGGAAAAGGAACTGAACCGCTCAGCACCGTTATTTCCCGCACCAGGCTCCGATGGCTGGGCCATGTGTTGCGCATGCCAGTCCACTGACTTCCACTACGTGCGTTGTTTGCTCACCAGGGATGTGGATGGAAGAAGAGGAGGGGTGGCCAAGCGATGACTTGGTCGAGAGGAATGAAGGCCCTCACTTCTGAGCTGGCCTCGGTTGGAGCGTCACGGCTCCCTGGTTGGGGTCCAAAAGGCGGTGAACACGTTTGGCTGGATACACTTGCTGACATGGCAAGGAGCCGACCTCAGTGGCGTTCGTGCTGTGAGTTTCTTTGTCCCTCCCCATCCCTTTTAGCCTCCCCCTCCACCCACGATCTCATTTCGTAACGTAAAACATAATAATTTTTCTTTTTGCCTAGTAGCCGGCTGGTAGCTTACCGGAACAATGCCTATCCGTTGCTGGTAGCTCAGCTGGCATGCAACTGTTTTATTTGTTTTCCTTTTCATTTATGAATTGCGGCATAGTAGCTGAGGTGTTTCCCACCTCTATCTGACGTGTATAATGATGATGATGCAGCACTTTTTCCAGTCGCGCACGGGGAGCGCAAAAAACGCTCCATGGAGAAAGCGATACACAGGCATACACAATACGTGGCCGAACCAACGCATGCGGTGTCTGAGAATAATGGTTTGGAGCAATGGATTGTTTGCTCCAAACACTCGCTCTCGGACTTCTGCGCTAGTCACGCGATGCTGCCGCCACACTCGAGTAATTCTACGTAGACAACGATTGTCGAAAACTGACAATCGTTTTATGTCTTCCCAGTGGGTTGACCAGGTCTCCCAGCCATACAAGAGGACTGCACGGACAGAGCCAATGTACACCCTGCTCTTGAGTTTGAGACTGACGTCGCGACGTCGCCATAAGTGTTTCATTCTGATGAACGCAAAGCGGGCTTTTGCAATCCGTTGTAAGACCTCATCTCCAATATAGTCCTTCAGTTTTGATGCATTTCTTTAGATAAGTGAAGCAGTGAACTTGTTCCAGGACGTAAACGCCTTCTCTATTTGCTGTGAGCCTGCGGAGTAGAACAGACAAGCAAGTCTTGGCGGCAACAGAGATCAACGAAATTCCGCGATAATTGGCGCAATCCTTGCGGGAACCTTTCTTGTGAATCGGGACAATGACCGATTCTCTCCATGCAATTGGGGTTTTTTCGTCAGTCCAAATTCGCGTGAACTGTGATAGCATTTCGTTGACAAACGCATTCCCGCCATCTTTGATTAGAGCCGGGGGTAGGCTGTCAGGACCTGGTGCTTTATAACGCTTCAAATATTGGATTATGCTTCGGATCTGGTTCTGTAGGAGCATCTGTGGCAATAGGCCTAGCACCATCCGATGGAAGCGGAAGTGTCACAGTGTGCTGTGCTGAGCTGTTAAATTGGAAAGCATAGTACTCTGCCCAGCGACTCAAACGCCTGTGCAGGTTGGTGATTTTCATGCCGTCTGACTCACTAATCATCTGACTTACAGCGTGTGAATTACCACCAGTGGTCTCGATGAGGTAAAATAAACTGCGATAGTTTCCAGTCGATGCAGCGGCTTCCATCCCAGCAGTTCCTTTTGGTTACCAGGATTCACAGTCAGCAGAGGCTTGACTTCAGCTGTTGAGAGATAGACCGACGAAATTCATTGTGCTCCGCACCGGTAGGCACAGCCCGTCGACGATCCAGCGACTTCGAGGATATTACCGAAATCCAGCTTCTGGTTGTGCAGCAGGTGAGCTCGCATCTGGACAAGTCGGTGGACAGCATTCTTTGTTGCAAATTTGACCAGTATTGATCAACATCCAGAGCGTGGAGTAGAGCGAGATTTTCGCGAAGCTTCTATGGATACTGCGTTTTCACCGTTGGGTCCTCCAACTTGTGAGTGTTGAGTCGGGTATGCTTAGCCCCGGATGAACCGCCGAAATGCATGCAAACTATCGCACACCCCAATACATGATCGGTTTCAATACACGTTGACCAAAATATTCGGCAGTCGCGTACACCGCCGCACAGACATGTTACAGACATTACCTAGGCGGTCCGTTGGGTTGTTGACTTGCTGCATCTTGTACATTCTAGTGCTAACACTTCAATGACATGTGGACACATCTCGTCAAACAGGGACGACGAGTATTGCTACGAGATGTGCTGTCCTTGCCTTTCTCCTGCCGATAATAATGTTCATAAGTTTCCGCCTTTGCAATTAATTATTACGAAGCAATCATTTTGACACGAACCATCAGAATTAAGCCTGGTAACTCTGACCTCCCTCCAGTGTTTTTATGCTTCGCCGGTGTTGCATGCACAAAGGATCGAACGACTCTGTTGCCTGCGTGTCTTCATCTTATGATCCCAGATTCGGTCCACTAAACCCGCTCGAGCTGTGGCATCTACATACTCCGCTATTCGTTACTGCTCATTGCAGCCTGGCCTTCCTTATCCATCTGGTCTGATTTCTCAATTTCAACTACCTGAATTGTTTGTGCCGATGCATTTTTGACCTAGACATAGTGGCCTGCTTCTTGGCCTCTGCACGCTCGGCGAGCAATTCCATTTTTAACTGGCACATCATAACATGATTCACGGATATTGATCTTGACGATCCATTTGGGTGTGCAGTTTTCTTATCATTCTTCTGCATAGCTTTTCTTAACTGCACACTTGTGTTAGTCTTGATGGATTAGCTTGTTTTGCTTATGCGATCGAAATTTTTATGTCCATTGTTGTCACGATCGTTCACATCATAAGTATTTCTTTTCCGTTTTCCTTCACTCGGTGAGCAATCTAACTATTCTGTGTCCTACAATCAGCGAACGTAGGAATACTGGTACTGCTCAAACAAAATTTAATGGAAGGTTTTTTAAAGGTACCCAGTGGTTGTCTGCTTCTCCACTCTTAACCGTGCTCGCACTCATATTATAAACTGCTTTCATTTACACAATTCCACCGTTTGTACCCCGTTTAGCATATCCCTTGCATGCTTTCAGCAGCCCTCGTCATTGCTCGGTGTGCGTGTTGCCTACTAATAATGCATCACGCACATTTTGCTTTCGCGTTCAGCCATGTATCATCCTTTTGCTGAAAGCAAAACCCGATCAGTGGCATGTGCCGAAGTTCTGTTTTCCCCATCACTTTCCACCATCCATATTTCCCTTAATTCCTCCCATATGTTTGTTCAGCCAAAGGATACAACGTTTGCCAGGCGTTTGCCAGTGGGGACACTGTGATCCATTCTGAACATACGTTTAACCAAGTAGCAAACCACTATTTGAGTGGCGTCGCTCCCCATCGAGAAATCGAATTCTTCTTCGCCAGTGACGCGAGGCAAGTGTGGCGCTACTTTGCTTGCACTTCTCATTCTTCCTTTTACCCCTTTAATTCACTTGTTTTTAGCTCGTTCTCTCATTGCTAACCTCCTTACTAACCCATCTACGCTCTACACTTTTTGTAAGTACGACGTTTACAGCCGCTTTCCAAACACACCCACATAGTATGACACCATTTATACTCAGCTGTGCCTGGATAGCCTACTTTGTACTATCGCACTTTGGCTTTGGACTTATTACATTTTGCCCGACTGATTTGGCCGCACCTTAGGTTGTATAAATTCTCCCCCTTGTCTACTAGATGTTTGTTTCCCAATCTGCTTCCGACTAAGTGGTCACATTCTTTTACATGAATGTCGTGCTATTCGGCTCGCGGAACTTGTCTCTTTGCTCAATTTCTCCCCTTGTCTCTAGGATCAAGTTTGCTTCTTTGGTTTTCATTTTATTCATCTACATACATCAAAATGGCAATCCGCTCACGAAGTTGCTTGTAGCTTCCTCCGTATCATTATCCTGAATCCCATTGATGCACATTCTCGATTGCTGCTTACTGCCTGTTCTGATGTGTTTCTGATAGGTAGTCTTAAACACTATGTCATTAGGACTACTTTAGTTCGTCAAGTCGTTTACGATCACGCATGTTCGTTACCGATGTGGAATTCCATGGGCTTGATGGAGTTCTATCACATATCGTGCACTAGATACACCGAGGCGTTTGCACGTGGGTGCTGAGATAGGCGTTGATTTCACTCGTCTAATTTGTGCTAACTGGAATGCAGCCCAAAACCCGTGGGTGGGAGCCACACCCTACGCGCTATTTCACGCTCATTCATCTATCTCGCATTCATTCTGCGGTCAATTTGGCTTTAAATCACTATCGCCAGAGGCCGGTTATCGAATATTACGTGTCAATTATGCGTTCGGTCTGAGTGCATATTTTAGCCGGAGGCACAGATGACTGATTTTGAGCTTGCACTATATCATTAACCCCACTTTGGACGACAACTGCTTTTCAACCAATCCACAGTCCACAAATTTCCATTGGCCTAACATTTGATTCCTTGTGTGGTGGCTTACCCTCAAGAGCTCATATTTTGTTGTTACTTCATACCCAGCGCACGACATCTCAAAAGACTCAGCTTGTTAATCCATTCAACTCCTTTGTCCATACCAATTTCCTATGCTACACTCAATCTTGCTTCAAGTTAACATACAACTTCTTCATGTGCATGGGTAGGCTTATCCGAATGTTATTGTACTTCGGGAAAATCATCGTTAGCTTTACACTAGTCCGGCGTTTATTTTCCTTTTCCCATTAATCACGCTTGAAAACTCGTATTCCACATTTATGACCAATATCCGTTACCTTTGTATTTGTGAACTGTTTGCGAATGTGTTTGTGTATTGCCATCTGTGTCCCAAAGCTCCAGTCGCTACCCAAATCTCATGGGAGCGGCCGATGATTCGCTGCATCACGTGGAAGCGCATGCATAGCCAGTGCAGTTGCTCCCTTCCACCCTTCTACTCATTACTATTATCATCCCTCCTTTCTCATCAATTCGATTACTGGTCATGCTACGCAGCTTCTATTGATCCATATTGTGACCGGCTTGCACCATACCCGCGAGTGGTAGATTCGTATGAGCTCGGACCTGAGTACTAAAAGGTTTGCAGTCCATCCAATAGCACTCAGACCGAAACTAGTAAGGACTAGTACACGAATTCCGGTTATGCGACGTTTGTCACGAAACTGTACCCTTTGACGGAACAGTGTGACATCATTGGCGTGTTTTTCCGTTTGAATTGGTAACCGCTAACTAAATATCTGTTTGCTTTTTGGGCAGCTGGTGTTTCTAGGTCCTTCTTCGTCGGCACACTCCGAGTAACTCTATGTGCCATCTTTAAAAATACCGAATACTCGTGTTGCATGGAAAACTCACTTTCGGTTGTGAACCCACGGCTTTGGCTGACCAACCATCCGATTAACCCTGTCCAACTTTGTCACACAACGGCTCCCTTTCACTTATGTGTTGTTTATCTACTGAAAACCGTTTTCCATCAATTTGATGAATTCACTGATTAGTCGTTGGCTTTCACATCCCGTCTTATTCCTATAGTATTTTGTGAATTTTGTTGCAAACGAATTTCAGATCATTGATATTTCACGTTGAGGTACACTTAGGAAGGATACTTCTTGTGGACGTCTGCTCTGTTGTTGCTCTCTCATCTTTGTTTGTCTATCTTTCTCTCAACTCAACCACTTTCCCCATCGCGAGGTATTTGTTTACTTTATCATTCTCTCCTTTCATGCTTTCGCTTTCATGTCAGATGAATTCTTTTCGTATAGCAACTATTGACCTATTCTCGATGCAACCATCCGGTAACCTCACCACAACATCGCTTCTGTTGTAAGGACTCACGTTTCCACTAGCGCTGCTCATGTTGTTTTTCTTTGATGCATGTAGCTGTAAGCAAACCGGCGTGCGCTTTTATTTTTCGCCGCATTCGGTTCATATTCAACTACTTAAACGTTTTTTCTGCTAGTGATACCTCCATTACAGTCATTTGCATCATTTCGTTAACATCAGCTCAATTACTGAACTTTGGATGGTACCTTGTCTCCAGTAGTAGTGTGGCGCGCTTTGCTGCACTTTGTTTCAACGAGTTGCTCCATGATGGGGCATTCCACGGCTCGGCTCTTTCTTTGCGTTCCCATAATATTTACGCCTTCGCAACTTCACATTTTGCTTGACTGTCAGACTCCTACCCAACTTGGGTAAAGTGCTCACAAAATCAACATGCGCCACCACAGTTGCAGTTCGTGAATGTGCTCACCATCCTGGCGCCCTGGTAGGTTGATGTTCTTACTAGTAGGTACCGATTGACGCCGGAAGTTAGGCTATATGCGAAGCAATTTCCTTATCTCCTCGCATTCTACCTTGTATCTCCTGTTTTACGCTTAGTGGCTTAGCGTCCTCTTTAGGCTGTTCATATTTAAGACCACAGTCACACCAGAGACGGTCGTCACCAAGCGCCATTTATGGTAAGTGCAATTTTTTCCATCTGGCTTTGCTGATGTTTGTCAGATCTGGAGAGTAGGTGCTAAACAGTTACGTCGATGATTCCTGCTTCTTTTTTGGTACAAAGACCGAGTCCACCAATCTCACGACTCCTGCTGCCATCGGCTAAATTTAAGCACCGCAAACCGGCGTCATTGATGACCGTCAGCGGTCGGACTTAGTCGTGGTGAAGATAGGCAGTGTAGTTTACGTAATGGGTACATCAGTAAACACTATATGGTCTGAAGTGCGCATTCCGAATGACAAATTGAGCTCTAGCTCACCTGAACTCTAACGTTGTATGGGGGTCCAAACCACTCGTTTCAGGTGTTTTATGCAGACAGTGTAAACGCTGACCCAGGGAAACTCACCTCCTTTGTGTGCGTCGAGTGCAATCTACATCCATAGAAACGTTTTCACTCTTCATGGGATTTCTTGTCATCATATGTATGTCATGCTGGCTCACTTTGTACTTGCATCGGCCGACATTGAACGCCATTCCGTAAATTATGAAGATTTGCATCGCACGGTCCTTTATTACTCACTTGTAACTTACATCTGCGCTGCCCTTCATTACAGTTCCCTAATCGAGCACACTGATAAGGTGATCTTTTTAGAGGATGATGATATTGCTGCTGTCAGCGACGGTCTCCTCACCATTCACCGACTTAACAGAGCGGAGAATGATTCAACGACGCGTGAGGTGGTTACTTTGCAATTGGAGTTGCAGCAAATCATGAAAGGTTCGTTGTTGACTGCACTCTCCGGGTTTCCGGTTCCATGGTCTTCTTAAAGTTGGTTTATTTATGTGTTACCACTTGCTTTCCTGCGTCATTATTGCTCTAATCAACCTTAAATTCACACCCCGGTTATGCTCCCATTAGGCAATTTTGATTACTTCATGCAAAAGGAGATTTTCGAGCAACCCGACTCCATCATGAACACTATGCGTGGCCGGGTCAACTTTGAAGCACGCACCGTGCATCTCGGTGGTTTGGTGGAACATATGACCGTTATTCGACGTTGCCGACGCCTCATCTTTATCGGATGCGGCACCAGTTTCCACAGTGCGGTCGCCGTACGTAAGCATTGTGTTTGTGTAAACCTTTGTTCAATTTCATATTTCTAATGCACTGAATTTTGCCCGGTCATCAACGTTATGGGAGATACCAACACCGAAACTCTTCCTCTAAATGATCACTACATTATCGAATTCGATCTGGGGATCCGTGTCTAATGCATACGCAGCCACGGCCGAGTCTCTTAATAGTGCCCCGTATTTAAAATCGTTCATCATCGGTCGTGAAATGCACTTTTGTTTCCCATTCTTAGCTCTTCTGCAATTTGGCCTATGAATACATATGCGCATTCTTTACCTTTTATAGACGCAGCTACTTATCCTATCCTTGGGAAAAGGTTCCTTCAAATGCACCAGTGTTGGACGTAATGTTTTTCTTTGTGGAAGACCACCCTTATATTTCCCTTGTTTAATATCCTCCGAATCGCGTCTGAGGCTTCTTCCTTGTATTGAACTCCTATCGTCCCTATCCACTTCGTTGTGGGTCTATGCCTTTGCTCAGGCTTTTGAATTCATAGCGCTTTCAACTTCCTCCTTAAGGAAATCATGTTCCTCCACAGTTCTTCCAAGATAATCCATAATGCTTTCAAGTTGAATCCAACGGGTGCGAACACTCATACAAATTACTTGTTGTTCGTAGAGCGACCAATCTCAACTAAGCGGATGTTATAACAGCTGAGCACACAGAGTGGGATGATACTGTCTGATTTGGCTTTAGTCACTCAATGGTCCGTAGCATTTAGGGCTGTTCATTCCCGCTGGATTCAACTTGAAAGCGTCACGAACCATGTTGAAAGATCTATGGAAGAACATGATTTCCTAAAGGAGATATTTGAGAGCGCTATGAATTCAATTGGCTGAGAAATGGTATAGTGTGTTGTTTAGCACCTTAAATAGCTTATGTTTGACTGGCCGCTGTGGCTAACTGTTATAATCGCGGTTACTGGGGCGTAAAGCCGGCAGAACATAGACCCACAGCGCCGGACCGTGTATTGACCAGATCTCAAGTCACATGAAACAGGCAACACAACCGACAATATAGGGGTAAGATGAGAGGGTGTCTCAAGCAGGCTGTCTCGCATAGTCGGCGGCCTCATGCATATGAACCACAGTAGAGCAGTGGGTGAGAGTGAAGTTCACGGTCAAGGGTGTGAAACGATGTGGTACATTTAAAGCATCGGATCGCCTGGCGTAACAGTAATCACTATCTAATAGTTTGTCCATTACCTCTTTCTGCGCGGCATTTTTTGTCCTCCTCCATGTGTACAGGATTTGTGCCTCGTAGAACAGCGCTGCGGCTATCCTATATATATATATATATATATATATATATATATATATATATATTTGCAAAGGTCTACGAACAGACATAATGTCATCAGAAGCCATGGGATTCAAACGAAGGTACAGAAATAGTAAAAGAAAACACAACACAACGATGTCCATGGTTTCGGCTATCCCAGCGTATATGTGTTTCGGATGACCCGAAGTGTAGTGGAGTAAACCCATCAGTATCTGACGGCTTAGTCATGCTTAAATTTCCCCCCTTCCTGTGAACTAGGCAGCCAAGATTAGTATTGCACTGCTACAATATAGTGAGTTGTATCTTCTCGTCAATGGAATTTAAGTGCTCAAGCAGCACGTCCTTCTGATCCCTTTAAACTATTACAAAGGTGTTGTCTACGTAGCTCCACCAAACTTTCAGTGAGCTAGTAGTGTTTGTTAACTTTCCGTCCTCGAAATATGCCTTATAAAACTTCGCCAGTACATGGGATATTGACGATTCCAGGACGAAGCCTAGTTCCTGACTGTACAGCTTCGACTGAGAACCAAATTACGACTTGTTAATGCGCACTGTCATACCCTCAGCTACCTAGTCAACTATAATTTTCGTTTGGTTCTTAACGAATTTACTCGTTCATTTGGTCACGTTTATCTGCTCCTCTCTCACCATTAGTGGTTGGCTAATACCTGGTTCAGCACTCTTCAAATGAGTCACTTGTACGCACGTTCTTCTCATCTGCGGGACTTGGGGTTCTTTCACACCATCCACTTTTAAATCTATGCGCTACGCAGCTATCTCTGCACACGCTTCACTTCGCTTCGCCGTTCCTGTGTGCCAAAATGATATATCCACACACGTGCCAATGATGCCGTCCTGTTGCACTGACGATCAGCTATTCGTCCGACTTAATAGCATTTACCAACTACTCGTTTCATTGCTGTGTCAACATTCTGTCACTGATTACAATCTGGTACACATGCATACAAAATTTTCCGCACGCAGACGCGCGCACTCTTAGAGGAGCTGTCCGAGCTTCCAGTTATGGTCGAGTTAGCCAGTGATCTGTTGGATCGTAAAACGCCTATTTTTCGGGACGACGTTTGCGTGTTCATCAGCCAATCTGGAGAAACTGCTGACACTCTGCTAGCGATGCGGTATTGCATGAGCCGCGGTTCTCTCGCTGTTGGCATCACAAATACTGTCGGATCATCCATATCAAGAGAATCGCATTGTGGAGTTCATATTAATGCAGGACCGGAAATTGGTGTCGCCAGTACAAAGGTACGTACTAATGACTGATTGTTTCTCTTTCACATACTTTGCTTTCCATGTTTAGATGCTTTACCTTTTGAATTCGCCCCCTTGGTTTGATGGAATTTGCCTCTATACTCCAGCGCTCCTTAACGTGTTATACTCTAGTTTAACAATGTGTTATTGGCGTTACCTTATTTCATACCATGAGACTGGCTAACCGTGCCCAACCCGTCCATAGTGCTCCACCGTAGGCCAGCTCAAATGTGGGTAACGATCCGGCCAATAGATCTGTAGCAATTAGTTATTGGTTTGCGTTGCTTGAACCGCTGCTTTCTGTGCACGCATGAATACTTGTGACCAGTGTTTATCCGAGGCGATATAATTAAAAATAATGCGCTCGAACAAATTAGCCTTAAATAACGCAGGGATGGTCACATAGAAAATGCTAACATCTGCCACTTTTCGTCTTCTCGCTGCGTTCTTTTAAAAGCTAAAGGAAACTAATTGTTTCAAATTTGCCTTGGACTATAGTCGCTGATTGCCTGACTTTCCTCGTCATTGCTTTTTAACTTAGTCATAGAAGAAACGTAATCGGCCCTAAAACACAGTTGTTTCTAGAAGTGAACAAGGTGTAGTATATATATATATATATATATATATATATATATATATATATATATATATATATATCACATTGTTCAAGCTAGGTTGGATCCGCTCTGAGCACCCTTCCAACCCACACTCGATTATCGATCGCTGGTTGAGCAACCGATGAATGTGTGCACCTTTTTTGCCTGACTTTCGGTTCGTTGTCCCTTATGCTTCCGTCCGCTTGATCCATCATCCATTACCACATCTACATTTCGTTTTCGCCACCGTTAGACCAGATAATTTTATCCTGAGGAAGATCGGTGACCCTGTTATATCAATATTTCCATCGCGTTCTTCATACTTCCGATTTTCTCATATATGTTCACGAAACGTTGTGATTTTCGTCACCTTCCCAGTTTCGCCAGTGATTTTCTCATCGTTTCGGGATACCTATCGCTAATACCACCCCATCCAACTTCCTGGTGACAATGCGATGGCTACGTAGCGTTTAGTTCACATAGCGCAAAGGGATAGCACACCTATTTCTCCTTCAACCCAAGCCACTTCATCCCTTCTCTCTGTTATCCTTTTTACCGAGAGCTCCTTATTTCACACTCATTCTTCAACGAACATGCGTTTATCAGGTTCATCGACAACTCTTTAAATTTCGCCCCACCGGAGGTGTCTACAACCCATATTCCCCACTCACTTGTCAGTCTTCACATATGCAGTCAGTCTAAGAAGACTTTCTGTTCACCTGCTTTTTGAACTTTGTTAGTCGTATACGGTGACTTACTTTCCAACTGTTGGAGTGGTCCAGGTCTCCGGTCCGTTACTTTCTTGTTGTTTTTGCAATATGCCTCATGATCGCTCTCCAAACGGTTCTATGTCAAACCTCTCGTTGGTTCTTTCAGGCTTATACCAGTCAAGTTATTGCTTTGGTTATGTTCGCGCTAGTTTTATCTGAAGACCGGATTTCGCTGCAACCACGGCGGAACGCTATTATCGAAGGTCTGAATAAATTATCAGGTAAGGCGTTTATTGCCGGTACTGTGTTTTTACACATATTGTGTATGTTCGTTGACGTTTGCGTTCTGTAACTATCGAAAATAGCCTACAGTCCTGTCTATCGGTTTCACCATAATTCCCTTAGTAATGGTTGGACAGCTACACCATATACTTCTCTGACAGTTGTGCTACACCCTGGCCATGCAAATTTCTCTCATGCCTCCTCATTCCAATATTCACATTGTGATCTCTGTCATTTCGAATTCGCCACTAATACTCTTACAGTTTCTCATCAACCGTGTTGGTCGGTTTTGGCAGGTTATTACACGTTATGCCCTTATTACTCACATCGATCAAAGGCATTCAGGTGCATGTGACAAGTTCCCGGCTGATCCCATTATCCATTCTAACTTCCAGACTGAATTCAATCCTTATAGTTATTAAAACGTATGTGGCCTCCTATGTGTTTCTCTTATTACTTCAACCGAACTCATAGATCGGAAACCTGCCTCCTTCGGCTCCCAAAACCTGTCAGATGTCTGCACTGTACTTTGTACTGCAAAGGCTTTCTTTCCTCTAGTTCCCCTTATCTTGTCATTTGTCTTTTATGATATAGCTACTTCTACCATCTCCTGCGTGGCTGCTGCAAAGCGCAGGTTCGTTTGTATCCCTCGCGCAGTATGCTGATTACAGTACCAACTCGCTACTACATTGGTCTGGGATTCAACCTTTTCCTAGGCTGCTGTATTAATGCACTGAGTTCACGTCGTCTAATTGGCGGTAAGTAATTCTCTCAAAGCAGAGAGCTACCAGGGTTCACACTTCGACTAACCAATTTCGGTCTACATGGAAAGTATACTGCACCTTACAGGCACGGTGTTCCTCAGCTATCGCACACATCTCTCGGTCGGCAAAGCAACCACTCCCGTAGTTCTGTTGACTCTTCTATCTACCAGTATCCAATTAGCTTGAAGCTGTTGTGAGCCTTGGGAATTGCTGCACCTTTCGGGTGTACTATCGTGCTGAATGGGTCAAAGCATTGTCTCCCCTTCTACTCCGAACTGGATGCGCCTAAAGGGTTACAATGAGATTTAACCTTAATGTAGTGCGACGGTTTGCGGACCTCTTTGATTCGTTGAGCTATAGGCAGTGCCAGCGGGCCCCTTGTGAACTAATCCTACCAGGCTGGTCAATGGTTAGTCGTCATATGAACTCAGTTTCCCGGGTGTCGGAAATGATTTGGAATCCCTTTCTGTAAACCCCATCGCTACTATCGCGCTGTTGGCTTGCGGACTGGATTTTGAGCCAAAAGCTTTGTTTATGAACTCTAATCGTTTTCCTGTTTATTGTGCATGACGAAACATATGGTAACCTTCAGCGAACGCGTTTCAACCGGAATCAAAACAACAAAACTGGCACTGGACACCGCTACTATTTACAAACAATTAGATGCAAATAATTTACCATTCCTCAACAATACGTTCTAGCACAGTCGTATCACTAATTTCAAATAAACCCAACAGTCTAGCACAGTGGTTCTCAACTTTTTTGGGGCAGTTGCCCACGAAGCGGGATCACTTTAAACAGTCCCCCTCAAAATCTTTATTTTAAATAGCTAATTATCCGCTAGCTATTGCATTTTTCCTTTAAACTAGGGAAAATGATTACTATTTTACTTGCTTTCGATCATAAACTCAATGAATACCCCTATTTTTGAATCATTTTCACTAATCATGAGGCGATGTACGTCAATGAGACGGTTGCTGTTGCTTAGTCCTAACAATTTATGGTATATTTGGTGCGATTTCGGCTACTGCACATCGTAACTCATGCTCCAAGTTTATTCGGTTTCTTACTTTGGTGTGTGATCCATGGTCAGACTGTTATAACGCTGTACTCGCAATCAACCGGTTGATTCACGCCTGGTGGTCAATCTGCGCCCTTACGCCTGCTCTGTTCGACGCTTTGACAAACCCGACAGGAAGGAAGACAGAAGAAGACTCAGCAGACCAGAGTTGTACTAAGATTGAGAACGCTCATATTTATATGTCGGTCTCACCAACCCTCTAAACATCGCCTGGCCGATTTGGCTGTAAGCCCAGGCTCCACACTTAATTGTCCCCTCCGTCTTGCCCGAGCACGCCAGTCTTCATCCGCCTACCCGGGGCATAGTAACGCACGTAATGTCTGACGCGCGATTTCATCAGCTTCCGGTCAGACCTTAGCAACAAGCATGCTGTCTGATGCCCGATTTCATCAGCTTTCGGCTGGGCTCTGGCAACATGCTCGCAGGGTCTGTCCGAAGCACGATTTGTGGCGAACACGCGCGCGTTGTCAATCAGGTTTCTCTCCCAGCTGTCACAAACATCAATAGATATCAGTGGCTTCCCACTTGTTTCAACCATCTCTTTCAAGTCCGTTCGGGATGACAGCTTCTTGCCACCAGTTTGCATCGATACGTCCTGTTTCGTCTCTTCTACATTGGTCGGTTGATCTATGAACACACGTTTGTGTTCACTTAGCTCCACAATTCGACCCGGCTGCCTGACTCACAAAAACAACTATAAACCAGCGATCCGATAGAGGCGTCATCTAGCTGCGCTGCTTTGCAGACTTGTGTTCGTAATTTAGCTTATACAAATTCTTACCGAAAATTGTATAAATCAATAACCACTTACTAACGACTAGTCGCTGACGGCTAATCGATGGCGATTAGACAGTTTGTTACATGTTCTGATACAGGTGATCCTGTTTTTAATTTTGTTTGACAACACTTTAATGACCCAATCCTCGTAATTATATTCACCCCCAGTAAAATTCCATTTTACTCCCTTGGGGGTAATTAACCCAGGTTGAGAACCACTGGCGTAACAAATATGGCTTCGACTCACGCCTGGAACAAAGTAGGGACATCCCCATTATTACAACTGACCAATCAGCACAGCGGGAACTCCTAGCGCAGAGCACGTTGGCATTGTTTGGTTGACCATGTGAATCGTGTGTGTTGATTTTGCTCTCCTTTGGCACATCAATGCACCGGTTTCCCTGTTGGATCAACGACGTTTTTGAATGTGGAATATTCACGGGATTTTCCTACTGTTCCGGTCCCACTTGAACATGATAACTATCACTGCGAGATAGCATGAGTCACGTTCATGACGCGTCAACGTAACAACATGGTCTACACATCAGTGTCCATATGTCGCATTTTGGATAAGTATTGTAACCCTCCCCAGCACCGCTAACTCATCGGGCGGTGCTATGTGAAGCAATAAACTTGTTCAGAAGTAGAAACTAGGTCAACCTGTGGGCGATTGTATGTGATCTGGCTGGTTCTCCAAATGCAAGTGAACATCGAACTGAGTCTACATCGGACCACAGAATCTGGATTGAGAGCCTGAGCAAACAGGGTAAGAGTTGGATCATAGGTAGTGGGAAGCACAGCGAAGGAATCATTGAGCTGGACGAACGTATCACAGGATTGGGCATACGTGTTTCTTCTGCACCTAGGTTAGTCGCTCTGACAGTATCTCAGCCCACGTGCAACTATGACTATTTCTTCAAACTTCAACCACTACTTGCATCGGCAGTCGCGCGGCCTTCCACTGGGCACCTTATCTGCCACATACAGCAGGGCGGATAAGGGAAGATATGCCACTGCTGATGCCTCCCTTATTTCTTTTCCACCGGTTTTTCATACTCCTCTCCCGATTCCCATTACGGTTTCTCCAGCGCATACCAGCGGAGCACGTGAATCGCTTTCACTCGACCCGCTGCCCCAAAAACCAGAGCAAGCTAAGCCATGGTGAACCCGGCTGATGCCTAACAAATCGATCAACAAACCAATGTTGTTGTGAAATCAATACCCATGCTCGCACGCACATTCGGCTTATGCAGGCTGTACAGTGCGAATTCTTCACCCGCGTTTGGTTCACCTTCTGTTCCCAAAATAAACCGGTTTTTCGCGTACTCGCCCTCATTGCTGGGGATTAGCCTTCTCTTTACTCTAACAGTGTCCGACGCAACAATCACTAACCCTCCTACATTTCCCACCTTACTTGACAACATCTGCAACGCCACTGAAGCCAGACCATCTGCAACTATGGCAACAGTCCCTTATAAGGTCACACTGTCCCGTTCCCCGGGCGGCGTTCAACGTTCACGCTTTACGATAAGTAGGTCACCAAACTGCACTCGCACGTAGGTTGGACACATTGGGTATTGATGTGTGTTGTGCGTCCTCTCGGGGTGTTGAATTAACTGCGCCCGACTTGTTCTCTCCCTCTTGGCTTCACGCATCCGGAGACGCTAATGCAGTAACCACTGGTCAATCTGAGGTGGGCATCGTTCTCAGCTCCAAGGTTGAGTCATCATTGGTTAATTGTATTCCTATGAGCAGCCGTTTATGTGCAGCCCGTTTGACGATATCAACTAAGGGTGCTTCACAAAGTAGTACTAACCACTGTTTGTCGTTTCCGCTTATGCCCCTACCGACCGCAGTTCTGATGCTGTCAAAGACGCCTTCTACTACCAATTGAACGCGCTACTACACAGCGTTACCGGTTCAGAGAACATATTTCCTGAATGCTCAACTAGATTGTGTGACCTCGAAAGCTCAGCTAGGCGGTACAAATCGACCGAACAGATAACGGCGAGCGTCTGTTGCAGCTGTGTACAGAGCACCGGCTGTTTCTTAGTAGCACCACTTTTAGACGCAATGCGCACTGAGGTGCCATTTCATTTCCACGTATAGCGATGGACGCAAATCGATCATGTTACCATAAGCAACAGGTGGCGTGGTTCCATCCTGCATTGTCGCTCGTTCTGGAATACTTGCGTTGACTTTGTTCCCGCTTTATTGCACTGTCGTCTTTCCATGGACCTAAAGGAGTATCACTTTCCTTCCACGATTGGCAACTCCAAGTTATCCTATTCCTGGGTCAGGCAAGCCTACCAAGATGTCCTCCGCACCGGACTTTCCCTCACTCGCACTGATGACACTTAGGCTAAGTGGAATAAAAACTCGACCACCGTGCACGACGCGGGAGTCTCTGGTTGCGGCACTATCAGCTGTCACCGCACCAGTCACTGAATATCCGAGAAATCCAGAAGAAAACTGATGGCCTGTGTACTGCCGGAGTAGCCGGGTACCACAACGGTTCTCAGGAAATGGAGGAGGCGGGGCCGTACGCAACCACTGCACGCTCTTCCAACTGATCCGCACCACTGGTTCCAGGAAACCAAGCCTCATTGAGTCACTCAGGGACAACGCGTGTTTCCTGGCTCACAGTAAGGAGGGCTGGCTGGCTCGTTGGGCTGAGCGCTTTCGAGATCAGTTCAGTTGGCTTCTTTGGGCGAATTGATTCTGGGTTTTTGCTTAAGGTATTAAAGTTTTACGGTAGATCCCCTTCTTTCTGTTTTATTATTTTTCGCTCCTCATGTCGTGGTCGTACGGCGGCAGCGCATCTGTTCAACTGGCTGCTGTACCGTTGTTGTTGATGATAATGCTGATGAGAAGCTCGCTCTCTGAACCTAATGTGCGTGTCCATATTGCATTCTTTATACTCTCATGTCTACCTATACACTTTTAATCTCTCCCAACAGATCAAATCCGAACTGTGCTCGAGTTAGACAAACTTATACGTTCTTTAGCTGAGAAATTATATCACAAGCGAAGCATTTTGGTGATGGGTCGCGGTAGTAATTATGCCACCTGTCTTGAAGGAGCCTTGGTACGTTTACCATCCTCATTCAGTTCACCCATGCATTTGGCGCATCTCTCACCATGCTTCAATTCAATGTTGCTTAACCCACCTGTTTTTTCGTGTATGCTTCCTCAGGAAACCGCAGGTTTACTCATTTACTGATAACCACCCTGGATACATAGGGGGCCAAAGTTGAAACTGTACGTATCATTCAGCACTTACAAAAATTGGTCAACTGTTAAGACAGGTCTACTCCATATTCGGCGATTCCCTTCTCACTAATCGTTACTTTGGCATAAATGCTACAGGTTACATCACATGTGACGCTTATCTCTACCTGCATATGCAACCGTGTTAGCCGCTTCCAGACCGAAAGTAAAACAGCTTGCAAGTTCTGGCCCCATCGAAAGTCATAGTAACCTCTCAAAGTCTGAAGACGGTTCTAATTCTTTTCAGATTGTCTTGCTTAGATTTCTCTGAACAAGGGCATGATACTATGCAAGCGGTGGTAAGCTATCTGTAGTAAACAAAACCGCAACTTCTTTTCTAGTAGCCTCAGACTTACTTTTATTTTTCCGAAGTATGTCCATTCACCTCCTACCTTGTATATGCCTTAAAGTGAATCACCGATTTTCTAGCAACATTAAGTTAGTTTTCTGACAATGGTGGCACCTAGTCGGTATGTAATCAGCATTTATCTATTAACCGAGTCGAAGACCGACCTCCATTATTCTTCATCGCTGACTGACCATCCGCTATGATGCAAGCGTTTGGTTTGGCCGATTCACATATATCCCGCTTCTTATTTACTTTTTTGTCAGTCTGCATGTTGGTTGAATAACTATACGCTCTCTGATGTAAAATCGAACCATTTTCTGTATCCATGACGAAGCTGACAGCGCAGAGAAGCTTCTCATCCACCAACCTATTTTGTTTGTGTGGACAGCTTTCCCCTGATCTGTTTTTGAACCAATAACTGGTTTTCACGCTATTGCTTGTGCTTATTCTCATCGACGAAGATGTATGTAGCGCTGCCTAGCTTGTGTACTCAACACCCCCAGGTGGCAGGCTTCTCCAGCAATTGTAATCGAGCTGTTTCACCAACCCACAAATACCCACCTCCTTATCAACTCTGTTTACGGTCGTCCGACCCCAATCTGCACGATTCATTGATCTATGTAGCTCTTATCAAACCCACCAGCCTTTCTTTTCCGATACGGTTGACGGCATCCGGTTCCGGATTGGCTTGCTACTGCGGCCTCCATAGGACAGCCACAGCACGCCTGCGCCTACAGAGTGACCGTGGTTGGCTTGCGCTGCACCACCCAGAGCTCCAACCACACACCCTATATACAGTGTAGACCCGAAGGAATAAGGCCGAGATGCGTGTGCATGGGGCGGAGCCGGCCCCACACTGCTCAGGGAAACCAAAGCACGCTGTAATTGGGAAATCAAGCGCACACAAGGCGGTGGCTGGACGTAGTCTGCTCCACACTGAGGGCATGGAATCGCTCTTCGAGCCTAGCACGGCCACAAGGACAGTGCATCCCCCCCTCCCCAGGAACGATTCTCAGTCTCCTGGAGGCAGTAATCGAGGTGGAGGGTGTTAGACAAGTAAGCACCTTGTCAACATGCACATCAAGCGCAGTCACACCGGGGATGTCAAGCAACAGTTAATCACCTTAAATGACATTATCAAGTAAAGTAGATCGAAAGCACCATACAGATATGCCGACATAACTCTTCGCTTTATTAGCATATGAAATAATGCCTTATCAACATATCCTTGGTAAATTCAAGATGGCAGAACAATAGATAAAAACCATATGCAAAAAATGAGGAAAGAATAAACGATGTTAACCACCTTTCGTTTAGGCGATGTGTGCAAGTTAATAGAAGGTTATTCAGTTAGACATTAACTTAATGTAACAAAATAAGCGTTAAGGCAATACGACAAACCAATCGCCTGAAATGAAGAAACTCAGTACCCAAGCGTGCGGTTAGTAAATCGAATGGAAGCGTATGCAGCATACGTACCAACGCGGCGTCGGTTCTGCTTACGTTCTCAGCAGGGCCCGTCGTCGTTTCGTTACTGGTCCCGTGACCTCGCTCCTGGCTGACTAGACCTGTCTGACTCAGGCACTCGCGATTGCATGTGATACAGCTGTCCAATATATATATATATATATATATATATATATATATATATATATATATATATATATATATATATATATATACCGACGGACGGCACACGGCCCCATAAGTGGGAGCAACCATTTGTATAGTGAATAGGTTTTATGCGGCGTAAATCATCATAGTACAGAAAAGTTTATGAATGGAATTTTAGATTATGATTTTTTTCCTCCGGTCCTAGACCCGAGCACCTAATATGTTAAATTTACGGATGTTTGTATCATCATTTTCTAATTTGTGGGGCTCTGGAATAGATAATAAAAGGGAGGGGATATTAGGCTGTACAGACACAGGATTTGATATTGTCTGTAATAACATGTAGTTAGTAAGTAAATATCTGCTCATATGCTTTTTATTCCAGCTCCTGTCAGTGTTTCTAGAGTTCGCTGTGAGTCAAATACCTTCAACACATTTGGTATAGTGAGGAACGTCTGAAGGGAATTTCGAAATGTTACATAGCTTGCACTCATGCGTATCTGTAGGGGTAGTTTATTTCACAGATCAGTGTATCTCACTAAGAAGAAATTCGATCGAGTTTTATGATTTGCAAGCTTTGTGCGTATCAAGTAGCCGCCATTACGTGTGGGGTAGACTGCAGTCTTCCGTAGTTCAAGTGCGGTGCTGTCTGCGTAAATTCGTTGGTTTATAATTTGTAGAAGCGAACGAGGTTGTTCTTTAAGCGTCTCAGCCATAGGAGATCCAGTTGGACTTTTCGACAGCGATCATAATATCTCAGCTTTGAGCAGCGCCCCATGACCAGCTTGGTAAATGATCCTTGGAAGTTTTCCAGAGCCGTTCTGTCTTTTTTCTCAGTTGGCTGTGAACGATGGTACAGTATTTCAGAGTCGATCATACTATTGTCTTGAATGACTCAAGTCGTACTTCAGGTAGGGAGAAAGTTCTGGTGATATATCCGCATGACTGCCGTGCTTTCGCAACCTGCTAAAGCACATGTTCGGAGAAATTGAAAGAGTTGGAGTACCTAATTCCTAAGTCCCGAACTGAATCAGACGTTGGGATCACGTTTCCGGCAAGTGTGATAGAGCCTTCTGGGATGCGGCATCTGTACCAAGTACTTGGGATTTCACTGCAGAGAACTTCATTAATAAACGTTCACTAGCTATATTTAGTGCGGATAGGTCTTCACAGATGTTTCCCAGGCACATTTGTAGTTGGTCTGGATGAAATGAGTAGACCAGTTTGACGTCATCTGCAAACAGAAATGGGTGTCCATGTTTGATCGGGTCGCATATGTTGTTTACGTAGATTAGGAAAAGTAGTGGTCCGAGCACACTTCCCTGGAAGACGCCGCTGGTTATTTGTTTCGGTGTAGAATATTGCTGACCGATTTTAACTACCTGAGTTCGACCGTTTAGATATGAGTCGAACCAGTTTAGCAGAGGATTTCCAATTCCATATGACTCTAGAGCAGACAGCAGTGGCTTGTGCGGCACGCGGTCGAACGCCTTTTGCATGTCCAACAGAATTATAATAATTGCCATTTCTCTGTCAATCATAGTCATGACGTGATCGAGATATTGTAGCTGGCAGGTAACGCAGAGGTGTTTTAAGAGAAAGCCATGTTGTGAGGGGTTGATCAGATCCAGTCTTGTAAGATATTGAACGATGTTCTTCTTGACTATTCTCTCTAGGGCTTTGGAAACAGCAGATGTGTGATTTATTGGGCGGTAGCATGACGCTTTATTTCTCGGGCCATCCTTATGCTTAGGCATTATAATGGATTGCTTCCATTGAGATGGAAAGCAGCCGATAGTGAGAGAAAATGTGAATATGTTTACTAACAATAGAGCGAGGTTTCTTCTTCCGAGTCTTATAACAGTTGGGGAGATACCATCTGGGCCTGGACGAGTTTATTTTTTTATGGATGCGATGTCACTTTGCACCTCTCTTAACGTCCCAGGGATATTACAGCATATTTTGTTCGTCGCAATCAGCCGACAATTCAGATATGTCGACCACCAAAATCCTTCCATTCATAAGTAATATTACAGCATAATTCGGTCATTTTTTGGAAGTGGAGGATAAAATGGCTGTTTTGGGGACAAAACAGGAGGCAACACTAGTGTTGATAGCCTCGCATATACAGGAGATGTCGCGCGTTATTGAACCATCGTCTAGAGCCAACATTTCAATTTACTGAAGGGGTTTAGGGTTCCTTCTTTTGAGTAGTTGCATCAATGTACGTACTTTCTCAGGATTTCTAAGTACCCGACTTTCTTCTTTGATTTTGGCCGTTTGGGTTAGACGTTGTAGATGTAGCAGATTCTCGTGTATTTGTAGCAATGTTGCGAAGCTGTTGTTCCTGCGATATAGCGATTTAAGTTTCTTTAGTTTGGTTGTGGCTTTGTACAGAAGCTTGAGTTCACCACTATGTTCATGGGTATTTCTCCATACAGTAGGTGCCAGTAGATCCACACCAAAGGGCAATATTGTTAATAAACTCATTTGTAGCCACAATAGGGTTGTGAGTTAAGAATGATCTATTCCAATTCATGGTACTGATAAGTTCATAAATGTGTTTCAGTCCACACGATGGAGGTTGCGAATGGGTTTAGCATTTTACTTTGTCGTTTAGGTGAATCAATAGTCATAGCACAAAGCACCGTGTTATGGTCACAGCCAGGTAGTGGATTATCAATGAATATATAAGCGTAAGCGATTCCCATCATGAATACAAGGTCTAAGGTAGTGGCACTTCTGGTTGGCTCTCTAACATGCTGGGTCCAGCCATTGTAGTGAATAGATGAGAGAATTTCTTCAATCCCCGTAGTGTTTCTGAGTGTAGGCAGCATCCAGTTAACATGTGGTAGGTTGAAATATCCACACATAATTTTGGATTTGTATGTGGTGCTCGAAGCAGCATTGATCATAACAATTAGCTTTTGGGTTTCACATTGCGTGGTTCGGGGTGGCCGATAGATACAACCCACTAGAAGATCAGTAGATGGGATCACTAGCCATAGTGTATCTTCTAAGTCATTTAGCACAGGTTGATCTGCGGGAATTGCAGTCAGGTTATTTCGAAGATATATGGCACAGCCACCACCACGTTTGTGTGAGCGATCCTTGCGGAAAAGTTTATAGCCTAAGATGTTAAGCTGAGAATCACTAATTTCTGACGTGCACCAAGTTTCAGTGATAAAAGCAATATCGGGGGATCTCATAAACATAAGTGTTGAAAGTAGATCTAATTTAGGTAAAAGAGAACGAATGTTAATGACGACAGATTTGAAAGACATTGTTAACTTGGAATGAAAGTGGTGGGTAATGTTTGTTTCTTCGTCATTGTATCTAAGATCTGTGTGTTGTGAGGTAGCTGAGGCACACTGAGCTCTACATCGTACTGGATTGAATGAAGTACATACTCCAGTAGTTTGATTATTCTCTGATTCATAATCGCACGTGATAGGGGCTGGATTGGTGGGGGAGGATGTGGTAGTATACCATATTCTAAACAGGGACTTACATCCGTAGTATACAGGGGTGGGGGATGCTGAAGTCTACAAAATCGTTTTTCTTCGGATTGTATTGTTGCCAATAGATAATACAGGTGGCGGTGGTGGTTGAATTTTGACTTGAGGTAGATATGGGTTGCACCCTCTTACCTGTAAGTCCGTGTGGCCTACCACCATTTTGTTTGCTATTTCGGTGTCGCACACATAAGGGTTTTGCCAGCTTGAGGTTGCGGGATTTGGATTCGTAGTCAGAGACATTGTGGGTAAGTATTGGGCCGGCTCTCTGCGACTTATCCCGACAACAGTGTCGGTGTTGCATGTAGAAGCTTGAGGACGTACACTTTTTCTCAGTTGGCCTAGCTGCATATCTCTACGTTCTTGTAGTGGTCGCTTCAGACCTACTGAGCTTTGAGTGTTTATGGGAGAAATTCTGGCAGGGTGTTTTCCTCTGTTTTTGCCTACTTTTCGGTTGGTCGGAGATAAGCCATAGCTTACTTCATTCGGGTCGGATTTAGATTTGTTTTTCGTGATGCCAACGTGACGATCTGAGTTTTTGTCTCGCTCTTGATAGGTCTCAGGTACAGTTACTGTCAACTTTTGTAAAGGCTCGCGGCTTGGAGAAGGGACAAAGGAGTTGGGTGTGTGGTCAGCTGGTGTCTGCGTCGTTATATTTTCAGCTTGCTTGGTATTTTTAGGTATGGACACATCACTACTGCTGTTTGAGAACCTCTCATGAGGCCGCTGAAGACTGAGATGCCCGTCATCGCCTATTTTAGACGACGCGGTTGACTTATCAAGGTCGACATTGCTGATGACAGCGTCAGTACTGGCTTCATTAGTAGGAACATGGGGTGTATGATGGGCGGAGGGATTTAGTTTCATTGTTAGTCGCCTTTGAAGAGGCGTTTGATTGTATTTACCGATAATGTTTTTAAAATTAGTTTAAGTGACATCTAGTCTTTAACTGCGTACGAATTTGGATGCGCTCCTATCGTCTGGAAAGTGTAGGAGTATCGGATATGTGGTCATGTTTTCCTTTTTCCTCAGTCTGAGGCATTGACAAGAGACTCCATCCATATTGCATGCTTTTAAGAGGGTAATTGTTACTCTGTCGATATTCGGTTTATCAGGCACGTTAAAAATGATAACATTATGCGATCTACGGAGGTGTTCTTGCGTTTCGGATGCAGTTGAGTCTAGTAAGGAAGCAGCTGTGCTCAATCGGTCTAGTGTAACAGTTGCTGAACCTCTAAGCAGTTCACAGAATGATAGGACTTGTTCATAGTATGTGCTGAATTCATGAAGTTTGCATTTCAGCGTGGCTACTTCTTCCTCAAGGGCTATAATCCGGTCTGTCGTTTCAGTCGGAATTGTGGTAGTAAAGTTGGAGTGGTTCGCAGCTACATCCAATTTTTTTGGAATTTAGATGATGGACGTCCCCTTTTTACAGTAATATCGGGTGGGTTTATAGCAGTGCTATCAAAGGGTTTTATAATCTCTTCTGTTTTCAACTTCAGCCCAGGGAGGGAGCTTCTCGTTTTCCTATTGTTGACAGGTATTTCTGGTGGGTACTCGAAAGAATGTTATGGTGCCGAATGTAGGACTAATGAGTGTTGAGTAGGAATACAATCGCTGGAGGACGAGAAAAATAATATGGCACAGTTTTTACTACTATAAGTGGTGCAAACCAACCGGTTTAAATTCCGGGTTGTTTTCGCTGATGGGGCAGTTCTTTGGTTTCTCTGTCACCTGCGCGGCTTGTTCGTTAGTCTCGTTTGTTTGTCTATGTGCACGGGTCCATGGAGTACGCTCCCGGGCGGATGGGAAATGACAATCTGATGTTAAGGTGATTCGCACACCAGTTGTAACACGCACGCAAGGTCGAGTGGCTTTGGGGTGAGAGAAAGGTTGCTTCTATTGATCGATGCCGTTTAGGGTCGGTTGTCGGTGAGATGTAGTCCACACGATGCAGCTAGGGTCCAATAGAGGGAAAGCCGATTTACTGGTCGTATTAGGAAATATGGCTCTAAGTACCGTGAAGTGTTGTAGATTGTGATGATATGCAGCTGGCCAAGTGGTTGTTGAATAGAGCTAGTAATTCCGAGCCGAATGATTGAAATTTGGTTGATGTACGTTGAGATGTGTAAGGGAAAATCCACTGCAGAGCGGAACACAGAGTGATTTGGCAGGTTTTGCAGAGTTTTTACAAGAACCGTCAGATATCCTTCAGCATTTGTTCTGATTATAGAAAGAGGACGCAAAACGGGATTAAATGGTGTATAATGGTCTGTGATCCGTTGAGACTGCACGTAGTAATCAAGCAAAGTGTCAGACCTTCGGTTTTACGTCTGCCGTCAGGCAAGTTACTTGCCTGGGTGTGAAAGAGAGAATCTGTTTCTAATCTAGGAACAGATCAGTATATGCAAAAATGAGCACCCTCTTGTTCGCACGAATATTGATGACAATTTTGGCTTATAAATCTTTTAGTGCACCTTGGAACATTATAACATGCGAGTTATCGTATGCGAACATGAATAATACAACTTCTAGGCCCAAGAATCGGTCGAGTTTGATTGCGGTTGGTAGGTTGTTTTACCAAACAATACATCTGATGAGGAAAACGTTGGAGCGCATATTTGTTCTAGCGCTTGGTATCAGTAGCGTAAGTTTCTTGTTGCAGTGCCTTTGACAGTTTTCATGGTACGGTTTTTCTCCACTGCTTGCTTTTTCTCTAAGATGAATCCATCGCATTTATTTCCACTAGTGATTTATTTGCTCAACGGTTATCTCGCATTCTTTGTACCCGGAATCCCGTTTAGCATTCAAAGAAGTAAGGTCGAAACTCTTTTCGGTTCTCGATTTATCATCTGTACCTATCCTTTAACAATACAACGGAGCTAACATTTAAGCATATTCTTTTCAGATTTCTTTCCTTTCAACTTCTCTACTACTTTTAGAAACTGAAAGAACTTACCTACCTGCATGCCGAGGGCATCCTCACGGGTGAACTCAAACATGGACCTTTGGCCATGATTGACAGTGAAAGTGCTATTATCATGTTGCTCCCACATGACGGTTTGTTTCAGGCGAGTATTTTATTCTCTTGTTCTCTTTTAATTACGTAGCGGATTCTGATAGCAGTATCATTCTTCTTTTGTCAAATTACTATCATTCGGTGCATATTTAAGCCACCCTATTCTTGATGAGGCTAGAAATAACCAAGTGCGATTGATATTCGGTCAGTTCATTACTTCTTTCTATTTATTTCTTCTCACGGTCAATCGCTTCTTCCATGGAACATGTTAGTATGGAAGCTAAGAGCCCTGCTTAACCCAGTGTCTCCACTCAAAGGCGCTCTGCATAGTGTTGCCGCGCGATTTTGTACAGTCCACGAACTGTATAGCTTGAAAATTACAGGGTCTGAACAGTAGCCCTGCAGCTTTGTTGGGATCTTTGACCTTTGTCACAGCTTAACCACCTGCTGTTTTGTGTTGGTTTATTTCTTTTCTGATCCATTTCAAAATGCTCGTTTGCAAGTGATCATGTAACACGAAATATTACCAACTTGCAATGCTTTTTCCCTCATTTTATTTATTGGCCTCCATGTTTATTAGTTTGGTCGCCTGGTCTGGCATTTTGCTCTAGTTACTAATTTGGTTCACCTCGGGCACATTCGTTTTCTCCCTTTCATTGCTGTTTAGCTGTTTGCACTCAAGAGATCACACTGTGAAAACATATCGTTACGTGAATACTAGACAAAACTGTTAGTTTCTATTTGGACCATGTGCAAGTTGGTTTCTACCACTCGTTGTATTCTATGTCCACCCAGGCCTTTTCACTATTCTTTATCTGCTTAATTCGTACCTCCCAAAGACGTAACTGCTTCTGTGTGTCCTTGTTCTGCGCGTTCCTTTTTTTGTTGCTCTGGCACAATGCTTGTCACAATGCACACGGAGTTTCGCTAACCGCTATTAGCAAAAGTTCTTGGTTATCTCCAAAAGCATTCCAACCAGGTATCCCCGCCCCCCTTAGTTCCCCATTGCAGGAGTTAATAACGCCCCATCACAGTCACCATTGAGGTTAGGGTCTTGGCACTTCGTGCGTTAGTCTGCTTATTTCGTTCCCAATCTAAAGCAACATATACACAAAGAGCGCGGGGCGACCACTGAACGGATATGCGAAACGTGTGACCTAGACATTAAAGTGCAGTGCCTCTTCCGCAGAGGCCGGTGTCAAGGAAATGCCAGGGACAACGTATGCTAACAGGACCCATCCATGATTTCAAACCACGTAACGAGTTCTGCTCCGTTCATTCCCCTAACACTAGATGAACGAACTTACCGACCACTTCCAGTGAGCCTGATGAAAAGGTTGGAATTCATCCATGAGTGTATGTCCAGCAGGACCTATAAGTTGATCATTACCCATTCTCTGGATACTCGCATTTACTCTGTCAATCTCCACTGTAGATTTATCAGTTTCCACTAATTACTTTCTACATTTTGTTCGGTTGCACTTTTGCAACGTTACTAATATTGTTCTTCGTCGATTTTTTGAAGAAATTTAAGATACTACTACTTTAGCCATGAAATCATACACACTGAATCCGAACTTCACAAGAGCCAACTGTCCCACTGACAATTAATGAGTTGTTTGCCTTTTCTACGAATTTAACTAGAAGACTATCGATGTTTCATAGTCACCGACAGACAGCCGAATTTTGCCGTACATTTACAGCTTTCATATCTATTCTATTTCTGTTGCCGAATATTTCTGTTCAAATTTGTGAACTTACTAATTCCTTTCGCATCTTTAATACGTTTGTTTTACTGTGCCGTTTTTATGACGTGCCCGCGGCATTCATTGCTCAGTTGATTTGTGGTCCTGTTGTACTGTTTGTGAGTTATTTCACTCGTAGGTTCATTGTATTGTTTTATATTAACTGCGATTTTAGAACCACGAGTTATTCCGCTCACCACCCTTACTTCTGCAGCCCAGATCCTGCGTTAGTTTGGTGAATCGACCCGCTCTTCCTAATTCAGTAGCCTTGTTAAACACATTCATCGATTTATCATACTACTTGTAAAATCGTCATCGTCGCAATCAACCATGTACTGTCAACAGGATGCGAGTAAAAATTAATCGCTCTAGCAGCCTGCATTCGTTACTTGCAGCTACTAGCATTTCATCAAAATTTTCTTGGTTAATGTTTCAAACAGAATGGCAATGGTTTGAGTATGGTGAATTGATCGGTAATTTGTGACTTTTGTTTGGGACCGCTTTTATGGCATGGGGTTTTCCATTGATCAGGAAAATAGCTAGTTTGTAATATGAACATGTACAACAGAAGTAATGATAAGTGTATTGCATTTAGTTCAACGTGTCGGTTGGTTAAGTTGTCTGTAGAGTGCAAACGCGGCACTGCGGATAATAGATAACCAACTTAATCTAGCGGAACGGAACGCCGGAAATGCACGTCGGACGACGACGTCAACCGCAGAAGCACACTTGCTCACGTCATTAGGTGCGAATCAGAGGAGTCAATTTCGATCTTCATTTGCTCCTCGAACAATTCGAACTCAGGGTGACGGATCGTCCGCTCAGACGACAGATCACTGTCGTTCTTACACTTCGCATCGCGCCGCTCCGCTACATACTGACGCACTGATGATGTCACTTAGATTGATGATGAAACGTTCGCAGCAAAATTGCCCAACTCAGCGGACAATTCCACCGCCACGTGACAACATCACGAGTTGGGGCATCCCGGGGTGTTGTAGATACATCCGAGAACCATATGTTGAGAAATGTTAGTGACAAGTAATCACAGAGATTCCTAGACATTTTCTAGCTCATGATAGTCAAGAGACATTGCTCTAAATGTAATACACCCGCCTCCTCGCCTTGTATACTGATCTTTACGAAATAATTGGTAGTTGAGAATTTTTAGGGTTGAATTCAACGTATTAGTGAAGCACCGCGTTTCATTGACTGGAAGTATACTTAAAGCACTCGGCTGTGCAATCATGTTTAGGAAGTGCTACTTGTTGTTAATAGATCTCGCACTGTTTAAAAGTAGCGAAATCGGTATGTGTGTGCTTGGGGGGGGGGGGGTTGCGAAGCAGAAATTTGAGGTAAAGTGAATACAAAGATGAAGAGTCAGATGCAATCTCTTATATATTTAGGGAAGCGGGCCTGTTTTCGATCGGGATTAGTGGCATTGCTGGTTGTTATGTGATGGTTGGTGCATGAAGGGTGAGGTGTTTCTGTCTTGGTATTGAGTCATTCGTGTCAAGTATAAATTACATGAAGAGTGAAAATAGCTAATTTTCTTCTATTGGATGCATTGGTAATGGGCTTGTTTGTGGTATCACTTTCACATCTGATAAAAAAGTATCGTAGTTCGTTAGTGAACTGAGAGGAGTCATGCATTTTTTGCGGTCGGATAGGATGTTTTATTGTCCCATGTTCAATGACCTTCAGACAGTTATTTCCTTGTTTACGGTTGTGGCAGTCCGAAGGCGCACCGGGGTGATGATGGCGTGGAGGTTGACAAATAGGGTTGGTTAGGGGACTAGTTGCTCTGCATGGCTCGAATTGGGATGACAAGTAGTGTTACGGTAGTAGGGGGGTTTGGCGTAGACCCTTAGGAACTGTCGACTTTTTCGTAGTTAATTACTACTTGTGGGCATCAGTCGTCGACAATTTTGAGCAGTTGACGTTTAGCGATGCCACGTTTATATCGTGCATAAGACTGTTTTCACTAGGCTTTTCTTTACCTAGTGTTTACTAAAGGCAATATATCGATAGAGTTAGAGGCAGTGGCGAGACCGGTGTCGGGATATAGAGTCTCGATATTGATCGGTGAATGCACAGAGGGCTTTACGATAAGTTCTGGAGCCTCAGCGCTCGATTTAGCTGTCGTTAGATAGGAACTATCGAGATTCACACCAAAGGCTCTGGGTGCTCCGCTTAGTGTGTTTTTATCCAGAGGCTTGATGAAGGGGTCTGCTACATGAGTATCTTCTTTATTTAATGTCTCAGGCTCAGAAACTAGAAGTGCCCGTTGCTGTGAAGTGCGATCCGTTGAATTGAGTCTGCTGGGTAATGCTTGACTGACTGCAGAAGAATTGGTCTGCCGATTCTTCACTCGAGATTTTGAATATAATGAGACGGCTATGTATCGTTGTCTTCCTTTTTAGACTTAAACCTTTGCAATCGATCTCGAACCTTTTCCAAGACTGAATTTGTCCGGTATTTTAAAAGCACTCATATTTTTCTTTCTGTAGGATTGGTTGTATACCTCAGCTGCAATGGAGGCAATAGATTGTCGCGCTTCCTCAGCAGTGTCATCGGTTTTGTCCGAAGGGTTGCTAATGCAATCCAAGGATTTTTGAAAGTTTCAACCAATTTCAATCCCTTCTACCTTTCAACAAGTTGCGATTCCAATGAGCATATTTTGTCAATGAGCCCTGGGATAAGCTTAGCGTTTAGAGTGGAGCAAACGTGGTTCAGTTAATGTATTGATTTTTAAACGTGTGATCCGTGGTGTGGAACACATACCGCCCTTTGTCTGCCGAGCTCGATTGAGCCTTTTCTAGCCCATTATGTATTAAGCTTATTTGTAGGCCAAAAACCACGGGAGAAAAATACGGGTTATAGGATGAAAGCTACATTCAGGTGAATCTACTACTTAGAAGTGTTGCGATATAGAGAGGACAATGAATTCTAACTACTTGCATTATGCTTGAGTGGTGAAGAAAGAAACAGGGAAAAGCGCGTCGTTCTCATTGGTTGGTCAGCTGCAATCGTGACACGATCAAGTTATGCGTCAGTCATCGGTGGATCGAAGTGGGTGACGAATGTTAGTTGAACCAGTGGTCGCGGATCGCTTGGCAGAACAACAGCGTGTTGCGAATGCAGGCTGTTAAGATCAGCACTGAGACGATGTCTGCCGCAAATTTGGTATTTGTGTCCATCACGGTGGGCACATGGCTGATGGGACAAATTTGTCCGTTGATCGACTCGTGTGGTCGGCGATGTCTGTACACGTTGAAATCCAAAGCCGAATGTGAACCAAGGGTGC